CCTCTCTTCAAATAGCCTGATACAACCTGTAAACAGAGACACTGAAGGGTATGACTGTGCTGGCGGCCAAACACACAAGATTCTTGTGTGTCACAGCAATACATTTTTTGCTCAATTTTTCATGCATAATTTATACAATAATCAAATAATTATATACATCAACTGATGAGGCAACATTACTAAATGAATCAGATGAGGCTCTAAGGAAATAGAAGTTGAAATGAACCTTTCTTGTCTTTTAAAGTATGACTGTAGCATTAAGTAGGACTACCCTTTCTTGTGTTTTGGGCACACTCAAATACAGTTTATTGATTGTCCATACAGTTAGCCTATTATTTTCTGTGGAATATAGCCAAATTAAAGAAGTAACCTGCAATCCAAAATCTACAGATACTTTTCCTTTTGGAAATATTACTCTGCAGCTTCCATAGAAGTGAAGGTTAGTGTAAAGTGGCTCTATGACTTTCTGCTGGCAAGCAGTAATTAGCCTGCAGTGGTCCCATTTGTCTTAACTTTAGCCACTAATGTAGAGTTGTGTAGTGCACTACTTTGTCATAATGGAGTAATTAATAATGTAAAAGCAGCGTGAGAAAAACAGATAGGACTAAGAGAAATGCAGGGATGGAGAAACAGAACCACCTGCCTATATACTGTAAATACTGTAGATTCTAAGCATAGAAAAATAAGTGGATTAGGAAACATGTAATCATGGAATCACTGCTGAGATGTATTTTGTTAGGTATTGTCAGGAGGCAGGTAACTGGTGGACCCAATATGCAGACACACACACACACTGGTAGTGGAACACAAAGGAGTTTATTTAATATGCAGAAGATCAGGTTACTGAGATAGACTGGGGCTGAGGCTCTGGGACAGGCTGGGGATGACTCCTCCTCCTGTGTCTCTTCCTCCCAGGCCCACCAGGACAGATGACTAACTGTGTTCTCAGACAGGGCGAGGGCGAGGAATCAGAGGTGGAAGGATCCAGGTCAGGTTCAGGGTCCAGAGTGAGAGAAATCATCCCCAGCCTGACGAAGGAGTGGGCACTCTGTGGGCAGGTGGCACAGAAGCAGCTCACCCCGAGCTGATCATGTTGCTGCAGTGTGGCCCATACTGCCAGCAGGCATCCAAGGTGACTTCCTTCTCAGCCTGTAGCTCCTCCACTTGGATTAACATGTGCTGGATCTCAGGGAGGTGCGGAAAGCCAGGAGCTGCTTCGGATGATTGCCGCCATGTTGGCATAGAACCACTCCACTGTGTTGTGGATGGTGTCAAGGTGGTGACAGAGATTACTGATTTCTCACCACAGGACAGAAACCTTGCCGGGTTCTGGACTGGACAGAGGCAGGACGGGTTCTGGACGGGACAGAAGTAGAGCAGGTACTGGATGGGACAGACAGGCAGGTTCAGGATGAAGCAGGCAGGCAGCGTGAAGCTGACAGCAGGCAGGTGGAGGACCAGAGAATGCAGAGCTAGAGAGTGCAGAGTCGGGAAACAGAGAACTGGAGCTGGGGAGCCTAGAGCACAAAGCTGGTGAACGGAGAGCTGGAGTGTAGGGGAGCATGTGAGTGTAGACAAATGAACCAGTGGGGAGCAAACAGAAAAGGGGCATATATGTAGGAGACTGAACCGGGAGCTGGCGACTGGCAGGTGGATGCAATGATGAGTGATTATGCTGGTGGAGACATGACAGGCAGGGAGAGACAGGGAATCCAGGGAAAAACCCGCTCTGGCACACAGGCGGAGTCGGTGTGCCAGTCCGACCCGCTTGGAGACGGTGATAGAGGCTTCAGCAGGTATGTTCTCATCAGCACACTGAGTAGGTGGGGCATCAGTGGGGATGCTTCTGTTGATGCACTGAGGAGAACAGACACAACAAGTATAGGGTTGAGGAAATGGCAGGATTTCAATCAGGACTGCGATGCTTGTAGTTGATGATTATAAGCTGGGCATTATGTTTTTTTAAATGATATGTTCTTGTGTTACTGTTGGATGGGCACTTGTATGTATAACAACTATGTGTGAGGAAATGATATCTGCAAATATGCTGAAATATTGAGGTTGAAGGATAAGGGTAGTAGGATCCCCAAAGTGTCCACCTACTGTATGTAATCCTACTCCTTTTCAAATGTAATATTTATGGGCATGGATAATTATATACTTTGTTTTCATTTGAATGGTTATTGGCTATTATTATTTGTTTTATTTGTTTTAAATAAAAACTATAATCTAGGAAAGGCTGTTCAGTCTGGTAACAGTTGATAATAGCCCACTGATATCCAGTTATTTTATGGTGGAATGGAGTTTATATTATACATGTTACACTTTATGAAAATCACAGTTTACCTATATTCACCTTTCATATAAATACCTTATAGGCATAACATCTGAAGACAACTTCTACCACCAACATGACTTAACCCACCTGTTATGTTCATTTCTCAGGAACAGCAGTGATGTTCCTGGGTTCATTTTACCATTACTAACCATTTCAATCACTATTTAGTGCAATGTTGTTCTTTACCTCTCAGAGATTATGGTTCAATGAGGATAATGCACTCATTTTTCATAAAAAATGCATGTTCAAACTTTTTGTAATGTACATTGGAAAGACCTACATCAGAATCAGAATCAGTTTATTGGCCAGGTGTAATGGACATATGAGGAATTTGACTCAGGTACATTGGCTCTCAATGTGCAAACAGTAAACCAGCATAAGGCTGTGTAATATAACAAAATAGCAGTATTTACAAGCAACAGAAAGTGCAAACAATGCAGAATAAGCAGTATAAACAGACAGTAAACAATGCAGACAACAAGGAATGTTTGTTGAAATGAGATAAATAGGGATAAGGGATAAAAATAGAGTACGTAAACTAGAGGCCTGTACGAGTTTGTATAATCTGTACAATGTATTACACACAGGTATTTCACTAAGGGTTATTGTCCAGTCACACTGTCATTGGTTAAGTGTTCATCAGAGCGACAGCCTGGAGGAAGAAACTGTCCCTGTGCCTGGTTGTCTTGGTGCACAGTGACCTGTAACGCCATCCAGAGGGGAGGAGTTCAAACAGATTGTTCCGGACCATTCACGGGAGCCTATACTTGTCCTGTTTGGTTGCTGAGCCAAACCAGACATGATGGAGATGCAGAGAACAGACTCGATGATTCCTCTGTAGAACTGTATCAGCAGCTCCTGGGGCAGGTCGAACTTCCTGAGCTGGTGCAGGAAGTACATCCTCTGCTGTGCCTTCTTGATGATGGTCCTGATGTCGGGCGTCCACTTCAGGCCCTGGGATATCCATATAAAATACATTATTTTTACATTTCACATTGATTTTTTATTTTATTTTACATTTTGAAATCTTTTCTTTTTATGAAGTGATGTTGATAAATTAACATGAGACACCTCTGTTGTCAGGGTCAAATTGACCCGAACAGTATCTTTGTAATATAAACATGCAGGGGGAGGTTGCAAATATGTGAAATGATTTCATTTTATATGTTGGTTACACCTATTAAGAGCAGGAGAAGTTTCATACCAATAAAATACTTTTAACTATTGTTTTTAGATGTTTTAATTTTACAATGGGTCAACATAACAGGAGGGTTACATTTTTGAAACAGACAGGCCTAAATGCAAAAGAATGTACCTAGCTTTGGTAATAAATCAATTTTCTCTTGTACAGGTTAAAACTGAAATTTACAGTACTTGTCATTTAAACTTGGATATTTTCAGTCCATAAATAGTAGTACTGAAACAATCTGAAATTGCATATCTGCACAGAAAAATGTGAAAGTGGGTGTTTTTGTTGCAGTATTCAAGCTGTCCAGAAGGTTGTGTGGCAGCAGCTGTCAGGTCCTTTCCAGTAGCTATAGGGTCATAGTCCATCTCAAACCTGCTGTAGCGGGACCATGTCACATAAGCAGGTAATTTGAGGCAGGTGGGTGCAGAGAGTGGCTCACCCAAGCTTTCTCTGCTACAGCTACAGCAAACTTACCCTGAGCTCAGTAATAAACAGTACAATATATAATATACAACTCAGTCTGTATTAATACAAAACACGCATCCCTCCCTAAACAAGGAGTATACCACCTAAATTATGCCATTTAAAACTATTTCATGTCTGTGCATTAAATATTGAGCTGCAGTTAGGATATGTTTAGCCTAGCTAAACAGGCTAAAAAAGTAGACCAAGCGACACAATAAACCTGGCTTTGTCCAAAGTTGAAAAACTACAGCTTAGCAACACTTCTAAAGCTGACTTATTTGCCATAACTCTTACTGAACTTGCCATTTTTATAATTCTGTTTGTGTGTGTTATGTGAAAGGCATACCATGTTTTAGGTTAGGTTTAAAAGTGTTGGTAGGGATGTTTTTAGCAGCTAGCTTAGCTGTTACTCCTGTCTCCAGTCTGTATGCTAAAATATAGTAATCCTCCATCTCCTGAATGCAAAAATGCTAGACTGGTCCCTGATTCTCAGAAAGAAAGCTAATGTGTCTTTTCAAAAATGTTGAGCTATTGCTTTTAAGAAATCTAAAGAAACCAAACTATGTAGTAAAAAAAAAATCACAAAGATCTAAATCAAGAGTTTACTGAGGTCCATCACAAGAGACAAAGGGAAACAATATTAGTAAATATTAAATTTTTCTTTCCCATGTTTTTGTGATAAGATGTATAAAGAGCTTAGCAGTTTTTTTTACATAAATGAAAGACTGCCAAGCTCTGACAACCTGAAATTGCATTAAGTTAGGAGAGCAGTTTGTTTAATAACACCACAAATTGGATGGCTAGATGTGTGTAAGAAAGGCAGTCCTTCTTTTTTTCCCTTTTGTGTGTTCTACCATCAGTAGTCATACAGTATGTAGCTACACCAGTTAAGCCCTGTCTTCTTAGAGTTGTATTCTAATTGAGGATATATTAAATCAGGTAGATCCACAACTACATACTTACGTACTACGTCTCCCTCTCCCCCTCATTTCTTCTCTCTTTTTTCAGTTGAAGAACAGTCTAAGAGATGACCTGTGTTTGGACCAAGGACCTGACACTGACAATGTCCCCATCATGTATCTCTGTCATGGTATGACACCACAGGTCAGTGGGCTCTCATTCTGTTCTGTTCTATTCTAACACACGGCACAAAAACAAACAACTGAACACAGAGAGATCTTCAGGTTGTCAGCAGTAGATAAGTGGACTAGAGTCTTTGTTATTTAAAATGAGGGGTTTAGAGGAGGCAGGCACTGCAAAAAGTTGCACTGTAGTAGCAGAGATATTTGAGTAATATCTCTTTATTCTCTACACCAAAAAAAGGCTACATAGCCTAGTATGTTGTCCTAGTTTTAAACATCTGCCCACAAAAGTATTATGTCATGCATGAATTGATTTTTGTTGTTTGTGTATTGTTTGCTTGCATGCTTTTGTGGCCACTTGGGACACTGAAGAAGGCAGCTATGCAGAAACATCTGTGTGTTCTTTGTCAGTCAGGAGATTTTTAAGCTTAAGAATAAAACCTATATATTTGAGGCATCCTTCAGATTGTGAAGGCCCTTTTTTTGATTTAGTTTGTTGAACCATTGCTGAGCACACCTGACTTATACCTCTCTTTTTGAGTAATAGCTGCTTGAGAGTAAAGACCACACTGACATATTACTAATGTTAACTTTTTATTGTCAATGTGGCAAACACTTGCCTATTTACTGTATGTTTCCAGCAGACACAGTGCAACATTAGCATGTTTGTGTCCACAGATGAAAATGGTCAACGGGAAATTATACAGTTTTGTGTTAGAGTTCATAAAATGAAGTAAAATGAAGCTCTTTTTAAATAGGCCTGTGATTTACAGAAGTAAGATGGCTAATTAAAGTAGAAATGCTAGCAATGACCTAATATAGCACCTATCCGATAATAATTCTGTTTTGTCATGTGCTGTTTTGCTATGCCTTTGCAGCTGAAATATGTGAAAATAGTCCTTAAGTCACTGAGGCCAATCAACAATGCTGTCAGTTCACTGCAGATTTAATGCTGTTTAATTCTAAGGGCATTAAAGGCTGCACTTATTGTCCCATTAATGTAGGCACTGAAACTCTATAAATACAGAGGAATTGTGATTGTGTGTTTTCATTTTTCACTGCTCTGAAATGCTTAGTAGCTTGACAAAATTAAAAATTCATATTTAACTGTCTGTAATATGTCCCAGCTGCCATAAAGAAGCTCTCATAATCAGAACTAAACTCATACCGAGCCCGGCATCTAGCAGAGCTTTCTGAGGACACTCCAAGCCTCGTTTCCATTGTCAGTAAAGTTAATAGCTTTGACCGGAGCCTCGACATCAAAAACATTCAAATTTCTATCTAGGTCATACTCTGCAATATGGCGTCAGCTTTTAAAACAGCTGTGATTTCATTTCTGTGTGTCTGTGCTGTCTTCTTCCCTTTCATATCTTCTCTTTTCTGGAGCGAGCATAATCAGCAGGTGCTGGTCAAGGAATTGAGTTGTATAACATTTATGTCTCCTTCACTGTCTTCCTTTGTTTATGATATGAGCAAGACTGCCATAAGGGGTCTTGAGCTTATTCTCTTCACAATAAAAAGCTTAATTCTGAGAGTGCTAGTTATGCTTAAATTTAATGTAAAGCTTGAGAGAGTTTGTGAAAATAATTTCATATCCACAGCATGAATTTGGCTCATTCAAACTGAGAACATGTCAAGAACATAGCAGGTAAACATATACAGCCTTTGGCAGGGTAGATTGCCCTCAGTCTTAGCAAGCACTGTCCTCTGGGCCAGTTTTATGCTCCTCCTCCAGGATGCACAATACTGCCCTACTATCTAGTTGGTTATAGTTATATGATGATAATAGGTTGAAATCTGAGGGGTTGTGTCTCAAAACATATACAGTATTTTAACACACAATCAAGTTCAAAATTGTGCATGTGCTTCTCCAGGTAGTGATAGTGAACAGATATTTAGCTGCAGTAGTAACAAACTGGAATATTAAAGGAAGAACAAATTAACATCATTATTAGCTTATCTGCTTATTTTTATGGCACAACTTAACAAAAAATAAAGTTCCATAACTTACTCACTGCACTGTAACATTTCCCTGATAAGGGGTATTTTAGAGCATTACTAGGATAAGCCAAGATAGCAGCAAAATATCATTGCACAGTTCAAGATCAGAAAGGGGAACTAATCACTGTAAAGACTCCGGCTATTTGGGTTTTTAGAATCAGAGGTGCATTAGGCATACAAAATGAAATGAAAGTTATTATCCATCTTTTAACCACTGCAGTAATCATAGAGGTACTAGAGTATGTTTGCACATAATGTTTCACACACATACACATTCAGGAATAAATAGCTGCTCCTTGCAATAGCCTAATAAAATTTCAGGCCTCAATGATTAAACCTACTGAAAGTGACACATGGTGAAATGACACCAAACCTATTTCCACTATCGAAATTGGTAGATTCACCTCAGACCTATTGGTGAATGCCAAAAAGATGCCAATGTTTAAGGGACAATCAAAAATACACAACCTGAGGATGCATAGCAAACCATTTCATAGCTGACATAGAAGACTCAACTATTTCTCTGGTCTTCTATCATGCTTTTATTGGTTTTTATTCTGTATTCTTTATTAATGTGGCATGTCTTTTGTAATGTCAATCCCCACCCCCACCCCATGCCCTTCTTACTCCTCATGCAGATTCTTTTATTCAGATTTGTTCAATCCTTTTGAAAACCTCCAAGTCCTCTACCATCTAAACAGAATCACTCCATTTTCATGTGTGTGTGTTTGTCCAACAACTTTATGGATTTAGCTTTGAATACCTGATGATGTGCTGAATGTCAGTGATGCATAAGGTTCCACAATTTCCCTCTTTACCACTTGACACAGATGAAGGGAGGGAAGCCTAGGAAATGCAGAGGAGGATGAGAACAAGAGAGCAAGAGAGAAAGACTCTTATACATGGAGAGTAAGAGATTGATGGTGCAGTAGGGAATTCATTGGTAATTGTTCAGTTAGCACTTCTTTACATATGCTGGTGAATGACCAGAGCCATCATTGTCATTTAATGTTCCCTCATGTCACCTTTACTAGAAAGAAAAGCTCTGCTCTCCCACGTGTATTATAGAATTGTGCACCAGCTGTGACATGAACACAGAGCCAGAACCATTTAAGCTATGTTCACATTACAGTGGAAAACAGCTTTGCCATTGTTGTGTATGTGGTGCACTGTGTAGGTCTTGCGCAGCACAGAGCAGGGTTGTGCCAAAAGTTAAACTTTGTTGAACTTGACCTGTGTATGCACAGCCTTTTTCACCCCGGTTTCACCTGTACTCATAGAGCCCCAGGTTACAATATGTAACTAATGTTTCTAAATTTTCCCAAACTATACAATAATACAATCCTCATGTCAAGATCAGATAAAAACAGACATCCTATTTAGCTAGTGAAATATCAGCACACATCCATGCCACTTCCAAGACTGTTAAGAAAAACAGTCTGATCCTCTAAAACACAACACTGGGGATCTACTGCTAGCAACATTAGCATCCTAGCTGCATCATTTTGTACAGCACCCTCTACACGAGTCTCAGTACCAACCTGCACAGAATGCCCTCATTTTTCTGCTGTAATGTGAAAATACCTTTATACTTGCACTTGAGGCATTCTTGACTTGCTGCAGTTTTTTCCTAAAAAATAGGTGTCACAGCTGAGAAAAACACAATCTATACCACTGGAATAGCAGTTGAAGAGAGCTACAAGAAATACCTTCTGTAGCTAACTAGCCAGCAGATATCAAACCTACACAACAGCTAAATGAAGCTGAATGAATCCTTATGTGTTAGACAACATGTGTTTCAGCTTTCTACCCAGCCTGCACACTAAGCCATAGATGTCTGTATACTGTATGATTGTACTGAAAGTCTGGACCTGCTCACATACTCCTGCGCCCAGCTCATCCATTTTCTGTTTGACATGCGCCAAATTACAAAAATTGAGAAGTGCGCAATCTGGTGAAGGAAAGCTAACACGCACCATGTGCCAGCAGTTGTGCTGTCATTTTTGGCATGCAGGACTGGGCACATGGGTGCACGGAATGCAAAGGTACATCACATCATGTTGAATGTTGGGTTGGGGGTGCCACTATGGCAGAGAGGCACTGTTTTTACCTGCACACATTTTTATTTTGCTTGGCTAAAAAGCTGCATCCTTTATTTCCTTTTCAGGAAGTTAGCAACCCTACTCTGCACCCTGAACTCAGCTCCACTCAGCTCTAATGCTAACTATCAGCTGTCAGCAGATGAACACTGCAGATGAATCCATTTCTGTCCTGTCTCTGCTCAAACTGAACACTTGTTCAATGGACATTTGGATGTATTTGAAGTATCCGCTACTGTATGTAGCT